ACGACAGAGAGGATGGAGATGGGCTTTTCTCTGTGGCTGTAAGCAACAGGAGTAGAAACAGTGGTCTCAAGCTGCAGCAGGGGAAACCGGGGTTGGAGATGAGGAGGAACTTTCTAAATCTGAGGGGGTTCAAGCAGTGAAACAGGCAGCCTGGAAAAATTGTGGACTCTCCATCCCTGTAAGTTTTCAAGAGCATGTTAGACACTTGGCTGGGATGGTTTAAGTCAGGGCAGGGGGCTGGATTAAATGACCTCATGAGGTCCCATCCTGCCCTACTTCCCTATAATTTTGTGATCCGCTTAAAATCCTACCAAATTCTCATATTTCTATAAAATAATGACAAGCATTTTCAAACAAAAAACGAACAAGAAACCCCACACAGCCAAGCAGCTACATTAGTTGTAGTTGGAATGTACTCGTTTTTCACCTATTTCTGCACATGCCCATGACCTCTTCCGAGTGGCACTGTTTTGAGTGAATTCCTATCCTGATGCCTGTAGAATCTAATTATTTATATTTTTCTTATCTCTTAAGGGAACACATAGAGTTTCACTATGGGAGCTGTCGTAGTTGATGATGGTCCATCTGGCATTAAAGCCCCTGATGGGGGCTGGGGCTGGGCTATTCTCTTCGGCTGTTTTGTCATCACAGGATTCTCCTATGCCTTTCCTAAGGCAGTTAGTGTCTTCTTTAAAGAGCTAATCCGGGAGTTTGGTGTTGGATACAGTGATACAGCATGGATCTCCTCCATTCTACTGGCTATGCTTTATGGAACAGGTAGGCAGTATCTGTTTTTAAACAATGCCGCATGTGAAGCAAATAAGTCAGGCCTTTTCTTCTGATCTTAATTAGAAATGCCGTTTGCATGCCAACTAGGCATTTGAAGGAAAAAAATACTTGGCTGCAACAATACTTAAGATAACAGGTTTTCTTTGAGTGTAGCCATCCTATATAAACAGCCTTTGAGACTTGTCAGCTACAGATGATGAAATGGCAAAGTTTTACAGAGCTCTGAAATGCCAAGTATGTGGATTTGTGGAAAGGAGATGGTGTCTTGGGAGTAGCTTGAGCATGTGGGGAAAGCATGGGAAGAAATTCAAACAGACATTACAAAGGAGCACCTGCATTGTCCCAGTTGCTCATCTCTCTTTTTTTCCTCAGGCCCCCTGTGCAGTGTATGCGTCAATCGGTTTGGCTGTCGTCCCGTCATGCTCGTTGGGGGCCTCTTTGCTTCGCTAGGGATGGTAACGGCTTCTTTCTGCACCAACATTATCCAGCTCTATCTCACTGCAGGCGTTATCACTGGTAAGCGGGGGTGCAGCCCTGAAGAGGAAAAGGCTGGGTTACAGTTAGATTCAGATATTGAAACTGGTATGCATGGGCAGTGTCTAAACCATTAGGATCCTTAGAAATAGTCTCTCTCAAGAACCTCATTCACAGTGGAAGGGACTGGCCAGATTTAGCTCTTACAAGTGTTAATTCTTCTGTGAAATTTAGTTGATGCTTTTGTTCCCAAGGTGTGGCTATTAGGTAGGGGAATACTATTATGAAGGGCGCTCTCTCAGTTTTGGGGGTTATCTAGAACCTTTCTTCCAGATGGAGGAAGCAGGAAAGTCTCCCCACATCTTTGTCCTCAATTGTGAATCAAACTACTGCAGTAACAGTGGCTATTTTTATGCAGACACTGCAGGTCAGCTTTCACTTTTGTCTCTCCTCTATTCCAGGTTTGGGTCTGGCACTCAACTTCCAGCCATCGCTTATCATGTTAAATCGATACTTTGACAAGCGCCGACCTTTAGCAAATGGGCTGTCTGCTGCTGGCAGCCCTGTGTTTCTCTGTGCCCTTTCTCCTCTGGGGCAGATACTACAACATGAATATGGTTGGCGAGGGGGGTTTCTTATACTGGGTGGGATGCTGCTCAACTGCTGTGTTTGTGGAGCATTAATGAGACCTTTGGAGCCTCCCAAGAATTCTGAAGTTACCAAAGAAATTGTTGAGAAAAAAACAAAGAAAAAGCTCCTGGATTTCAGTGTGTTTAAGGATAGTGGCTTTGTCATCTACACTGTGGCTGCCTCCATCATGGTGCTGGGCCTCTTTGTGCCGCCAGTGTTTGTGGTGAGCTATGCCAAGGACCTGAGATACGAAGACACAAAAGCGGCTTTTCTTTTGACCATTCTTGGATTCATCGATATCTTTGCCCGGCCCATCTGTGGAGTGGTTGCTGGTCTCAAGCAGGTCAGACCACGTTGCGTCTACCTCTTTAGCTTTGCTATGTTTTTTAATGGTTTTACAGATCTCATGGGATCCATGGCTGATGACTATGGTGGCTTGGTAGTCTTCTGTATTTTCTTTGGCATTTCCTATGGAATGGTAGGTGCCCTTCAGTTTGAAGTTCTCATGGCTATCGTCGGCACTCAGAAGTTTTCCAGTGCCATTGGCTTGGTGCTGCTGGCCGAAGCAATGGCCGTTCTAGTCGGCCCGCCATCAGCAGGTAAATAATCTATTAAATTAAGAGTTTAACAGCATTTGCATTGTTCCATTACTTTTTGTGTGCCAAAGACTGAGATCCAAGTGAAAACAGCCACCGAGAGTGTATATGGATCTGGTAATGCGCACACTTACCTGACACACGCTCGCCTCTCAGAGATGCGCCCAGCACACAGCTAACCACTTCCCTGAAACTCAGTTGGGGCTTTGGTTCAAAACTGTCCTGGAATCTGTCAGGTGATTTTAAGGCTCAACCAAATTGATTGTACATTGTCCCTGGTGACTTGAAGGAGGAAAAAACCTTTATAGGTGAACAACCAGAACCATGGAAAAATTATTGGAGAAAGAGGGAGTGAAAAGGCAGGGACTGTTATCTTAGAAAGGAGGTGAGATTAAAAGGGGTTGAAGTAATGAATAGTGTAGAGCAGAGGTTTCTATTTTCCCCATCTCATAACGCAGGAATGAGCAAGATTACAAACCAGCCAGATGTACAATTCAAACCGAAGCTGAGGAAACACCATGCTACTCAACACAGACTTTATTTTCCCCACATACCAATGCTCCCACATAAAACACAAGCATTGTTTTTGGAAGGCAGAATGTAGGGAAAAAACCCAACTTATTCCAGAATCATGGCTGACTGTGTGACATAGAGTATGTGCTCCTGGGAACACAGAGCATCAAGGAAGCATGGCATCCCAAGAGAGTCTGATGAGGCAGCAAGGACAATCTAGGAACCTGAATCGATCATTTAAAGCAAAGTGGAAAAATCAGGCCCTTTATATGCCACTTTCAAAGACCCGATCAATTTAGTAATCTACATAACAAAAGATGAGGAAGAACTGTGATCTTTTAAAGTCATAGAAAAAACAATTTTGTAAGTTTTCCCCCCAATTTGTTTATCTCAAGCATTTGACAGGGCTTTATGCACAGTCAGCTTCATGGTCCTGCCATGTCGTTTCCATCCCCCACCAGCCTCTCTGGTAATTAGCCACTTTGATAGTGTGTTTTTCTCGTATAGAAACAGGAAATGAAAAACATTTTAAACAAACAGAAAAATGCATCTATAAAACAAAATGTAGCGGAAACCTCCAGGGCACAAGTCATATATTCAAATATCTTCACTTGTTTTAAAGATTAAGTAGATTACAAGACGGGATTCAGGAGGATTCCGAAATGTACATAAGTTACTTGGGAGTGCTGCTGTCTTTCAGTGGGACTTCTGCTTTTATATGTTCTAGGTACTTCTGGAAATCTCTTCCAAGGCTGACTGTGGCTTTGTATTTTCACATCAACGGTGATTTAGAGCATGATTTCTCTTAAACAAAACAGCATTATCCTCATTGCAGGAGATGTTTGTTTTTCTTTCTTTTTTACTAACCTGTGAATTTAATGTCTTTTAGGCAAAATCTTGGATGCCACGAACAGGTACATGTTTGTTTTTGTTACTGCTGGAGTTGAAGTTACAGCCTCAGCCCTCGTGCTGGCTTTAGGAAATTTCTGCTGTATTAAGAAAAAATCAGAAGAGCCGCAAACAAAAGAGGAAGCAGCAGAAAGAGAGGAGCTGAACAAAATGGAAGACAAAACCCCTGAAGATGCCAAGGTGGACTCGATCGAAGTGGAACACTTCCTGAAAGATGAGCCTGAAAGAAATGGGGAAGTTGTGACCAACCCAGAAACCTGCGTGTGAGTGTGGCAAGATGAGTGACAAAGTATTTAGGAAAGAGTCAAAGAATTTCAACACTATTTATTTTAGAAGTAGAACTACCTTAGGGCTGGGCCACTTGCTTTGCTACATGGAAGCAAACCAGCTCATAGCATATTCTGTAGAAACTGGTTTGTTGGGAAGCCTTTTCTCAGAAAACTTTCTTTCAGTGAGAAGTGAAGCTTTGTGGTTATAACTTTTAACAAAACTTAAACAGTCATTGTAAACACATGTAGAAGTCCTGCTATGCATCGCCAGAAATTTCTCACTTGAAAGAAAAAAATATTGTCATTGAAGAGGAATGATGTGTGTTTTTTGTCAACATGGGTGAAAGTGTTTGTTTGTTTGTTTGCTATGTGTTGTTCACCTAAATGCAACTTCCCTTTCTTTGTTCTTTGTCAAACGTGGAGAGCTTGAGATGGGGGAAAAATCTCAGGAACTTATAAGGTCTTGGAAACCTCTTACTTTTTTCAGATATTTTTAGATTAATTGGCTCAGCCCTAACCTAATTTTGATAATATGAATAACTATTACTTGGGCTTATGTAAATGTATTTATGTAAGTTTTATCTCAACTTGTCATTTTTGTAACTGTAATTTTTATTGGAAATACTGTACACTGAGGGGCATCCGAGAGATAGTGCCCTCAGTGGGACACAGCTACTACTCCCAAATAGCAACAAATGAAAATGAAAAGAAAAGCAGTATTAATCATAACAGACGAGAAGAGAACAAGTTTAGTTTGATGTCAGTTTTCCAAAGTCTTGCCAGAGAACTTCTGCCATCACTGTGTACAGATATATTTTCAAAAGGAACCTAGAGAATATAGGTTTGGATACTAAGGTCACTAAGATATGTCTAACAGAAAATTGCCAGCATGTTTAAATGTAAGAACTAAAAATGTGTTCTAGGTCAAACATAACAGAGATACGGGTCTTGGCTAACTTAGGAAAAAGAAATGGGTGATTTTTAAACAAGTTACCTAACACACTTTAATTAAATATGGGTTAAAGTATATTAGCACCAGTGCAGATATATGTTTTAACACTTTTCCCTGAGCCAGCTATTCCTCCTTGTTGGAAAGAATGGCCCCATATTTGCCTCATCTAGATAGGCTCTTGGAGACATGTTAGGGTCAGTGAAGGAAAGATAATTGTATTATTGATCCTGTTTATTAGAACAGTGCCTAAGGACCAACCAAGGCCCACTGTGCTCAACAGTGCACAAACGCAGCAGTCAACAACAATTCCTACTGAACCAAAAGAGAAGTAAAGGAAGAGAAAGGGCCTCTGTATTCCACGGTTCATACCACTGAACCCCAGCCTTGCCACCTAATTGTGCTCCAGAACCTCAGACTGCTTTCTGGGCAAGCTCCAGAAGTCCCAGCTGTTTCCTATGCAGCTGCCTAACCCCTATACCTCCACCTCCACCCCGGAAGTCAGTGTAAAGTGTAACTAATGTGGTTTCCGTTTCCTGAATCTACACCCAGCACTGAAACAGTCTCTGAGAAATGCACTAGTCTATTCATCTTAAAATGACTTAAGAATGATGAAACCTAATGATAACTGCCTAAGTGGCAGCATTATTCACTACTTACCTGCTCATCATTATAGCAAAAGCCTCCACGTCCCAAATGCATCTGTCCCAAACAGCTTTCTGGCCTGCTTACATCTGCACTCCTAACCATTCCCTATGAAGCTGTCTAAACCTCCACCTCTTGCCCTGCTGTCCTCTACAACACAGTTATTTTAGAATACAGGCGTGCAGAAACTGAAAACATGAAGAATACCGCACCAACCATATTATTTTCATACTCCATTCATTTTTTAAAAAGCAATTACTTGAGCAGCAGTTGTTCACTTGCACATGAGTCTTGTTACAAAATTCATATCCAGTTTTTTCCATAGAACGCATAGGTTCACGCAGGGAAGTAATGTGAGAACTAGCGGCTGACAACATGAAAGCAATGGAAGGAAAGGGGATCCACAGATTATCCTAGTGGCAAGCCTAGAGGCCAAACTGTCTGGTGGGGGCCAAATATGGCTCACTAGTTGGTGTTCCCATTTCTATTAAACCAAAGCAATACCAAAAAGATCTCTGGATGCTAATTTGCTCTCTTAAGCAGGGGCAGGCAATTATTTTGTCTGGAGGACCGCTTAACGAGTTTTGGTGAGATGTCGAGGGCCGCATGGCAGCCCTGCCCCTTGACAGGTGGCCCGCCCCCCTGGACACCATCTTGGGACTGGAAGTCCTGCCCCCTAACCCCTGACCTTTGCCACCAGAAGTCCCTCCCCTTGCCCCCAGAAGTACTCCTTTCAGCAGGGGGACTGCTACCTTGGAACTAGAAAAAAAACCCAAATTATATTCTAAAAATCAAACATCTATTACAACATACAATAATTTGATTTTAGAAAATATTATTGTCCTTATTTACATGCTTTTGTGTAGTGTACAGAGAGGCAATTATATAATAGCTTAAAAGGATGTCTTACTTTTGTATATTGTGTGGGGGGCTTGGGGGTATGGGTGGGTGTGTGGGGGCAGTGTGGGGTTTATGGGGGTGCATAGGTATGGGGTTTGGATGTATGTGGGGGGTGGGGGAGTATGCAGGAATGTGTGTGGGTATGGGTGGGGGGCTGTGAGTGTGTGGAGGGATTGGGGTGGCTGGGGTGTGCAGTATGCATGGGGGAGTGTGGGTAGCGTGTATGGTGGTGCAAAGAGGATGTGGGTACATGTGTATGGGGGTTGTGCGTGAGCGTTCTCCCCTCCAAACACCCTCCCCCATTGCGCACAGGCCCCACCCCCAGAGGCAGCAGCAGGCAGTGATGCCTTATTGGAGGCCTTCGCTGCATAATGCCAAGGAAAATATCTATAAATCTCACTCCTGTACACATTCCCATTTACTTCAGTGGGACTGACCAGCAGTCAGATGAGCTGGAATTGGCCCTACATGGGTATTTTTGTTCTAACTACAACCAATCATAGAATCATAGAATCAATGAGTCAGAAGGGACCTAGACAGATCATCGAGTCTGACCCCCCGCCAATCATTCAAATATGCTGTGGAAATTGGGGGGGGTGGGGACAGATTTCTATGTTCTATAATTATTCTTCCCTCTCTGCAGTGTTACAGACAAGTTTACACATGGTCAAAAAGGGTTACTGAGGGAGGGAGAAGAATTACAGATATTCTTAGCTTTTTCTGCTTTTCACAATTCTGGCATGAAGGACACCGGTGGAAGCTGTCCCCTCATTCTGCCCAGGTCTCTTACCTTCCAGTTTCTGGGAATACACACACTCTAAAACGCAGAATGAGGGGGATTGCATTTCCTCAGCTATGCAGATGGGCAATGAAAGTACTCAGAGTCTCCATGGATGTACCATACCTCTTGCTAGAAGGGTCCATCAAAGAAATCATGGTATGCAGTCTTTAGCTGGTTGAATTACTGTCAGAATGGACATTACCAAAGTATCTGTACAACATTCCACATCCTGTAGAGAACTGTGCAGTGACAGGTGGCAGGGTCTGAGAGACCAGCAGAGCTTCTTCCTGCTTCAAAAATGGAGAGAGAAAGTTTATCATACTTGTGTTTTTGAACCACCACAAATTCTAGAGAAAACACTGCTTTTCTACACCCAAACCTCTTTAACTGCACTCTCTCTTTAGCCCTATGGTTCACCTGAACTGTGGATGAAACTGCTTATTCATACAAATGCAAGATCCAAGTGTAATATTGTTTAAAGGACTTTTCATGGAATAGTATCTCTGAAAATAATGAAGAACAGAATATCCTCCCCTCTTGCAGATGCCACCAAGCTGGTGTGTGTGTGTGTGTGTGGGGGGGG